CCCCCATTGCCTCGAAGTATCGCGTACAATCCGGAGGATTCGAAACTCCCGACGTGAATCGACGAACGTATTATTCTGCGTAAATTTGAAATTTCGAAAATGAAAAATTCCTACTCGATACGTCTAAATATAATCGCGACGCAACCCTATTCGCTGCAGCCCCCGTTGTTTCAAAGTTTCGCGTGCAACCCTGAGAACTCGGAATCCTCGTCGCGGTTCATCGTATGCATGTGCAACGCATCGGTGAACCGATCCGTTTCAAAAACTCGAAGTTCTACACAACGATCCCGTGCTAAATGACTCGTAGATTCACGCGGGGCAAACAAATTTCCTCTTTCAGAGGCGATAATTCTATACCACCGCGGCAACATTCGCGTTGCCACCTTTGCAACAAGATTCTTGCGCTAGTTTCCAATGGCTCGCGCTTTCGACCCTGTTCTCCGCTTTTCAAAAAAAGAGGAACGCGAGTGAAATGCACATTTTTTTGAACGGGAACGAGGCAACCCGCTCGTTTGCACCGCGTCAGCTTCATGCAGCGTACGCAACGCGCGACAATGCACAGACGCGATGTGCAGCTACGTGAGCGGGTCCAGATCGCGGATTTCCGCGCGTTTCTTCGCGCATATTCCACCTTTTCTGTCTTTGTTTCCTTTTCCGGGCCAGCTGAGAGATAGGAGAAGTGAATTTCGGCGATTCGGGGGTGAAAACAATGACCAGATCGGGATAGAGGTGAGAGGAGAATCGACGTGCTAAGGGAACAGAGAAGACTCGCGTAACTCTGAATAGTATCTTCTTATATACTCCGAGATGCAACCACGCTCATCCCGTTCTGAATCTTTTCGAGAAAATGTACCACGTGGTAGAATACGCAGAAAACGAGATCCCACGGATAAGTTTTGTTCGTTTCTCAGTGGACTCTGCTGTCGCGGAACAAAAGGGACGCTAACGTCAGACGCTAACGTTATCGCGTTGAAAGGAAAGGGAGCGACGGCATTTAGATTATAAAATTTGTATATTCTTGGAAAGCAAGGTAACTACATGACGCTGAACGGGAACTTTGTTCATGGCAACGTACAAAACTTAATTATCATACCGCCGTAATGGAACTCGAACAATGATCCCGGAGTCTGAAAAGCCAAAGCTGGATGAATCGCGTAACGCGCAGTGCCAAACTGCGTTCCACGGAGAACGCAAATTAATATCGCGAATGAAAATTTATGAGAATCGTGGCTCCCCCAATTGTAGTTATCGACCGTCGATTTTTACTTTGCTCTGGCAGCAGGAAACGCTGGCAAGGAATCGAAAATTTGTTTCCAAACACGTGAACTCGACGGCCAAAAATCGAGACGATGGTCGCTACGACTGCACCTCCTGTCAATCGATGCGAGAGGAAGTTCGATGCTGTGGACCAGTCGTGATAGGAATTTCGATGCAACGACTGTTTGTCTAGCTCTCAAATAGATTTGAAAGGTATCGCGTTAGAAGACTGCTAGAGAAATCCTCGAGGCACCTGTTGATCCTTCTCGTTAAAGTTTGAAGGAACCGACCTGGACTAGCCTGGACACGCAAGCTCAAAGGTGCTTGCTGCTGACAGGGGAAAAACTAGCTAATGTTGGCCCACTAGCGAACGCGAATTTTTCTGTTTACCCACCGTGAGGATGCAAAGACTTTTAGGGAATAACAATCCGTCATTTTTCGCTCGAATTTATATCTTGCAACCTGATGGAATCTCTGCGCTAGAATAAACGTGCCTAACTCACCAACAATCCTCGTCAAGTATTATAATTATATGCTAAACTTGATACACGACGAAAAATTATACGTAACGTGTTTTAACGCGCGCAAAACATGAAGAAATTTTATAGTTTTGCGTAATTTAATCATGAATGGAATAGAGGTACAGTGGTTAACTAGAATTAGATACTTTTCCATTATTCATTTTTCGGAATTAAATCATAGCGCGATCAATGAATAAATTTTTAGAAATTGTGTCATGTTCCAATAAATATTGAGCCCTCTATTGGATTGGATTGAACAATGGAATAGTTTCCCGCGGTTATAATACGCACAATTTTTTCATAATTCCGCATAATAATTTCCTTCATCGGTTCTACGCTCTCGACGCTATTTTTGCCTCGCGATGCAGCAGTAATTTTTGTCAGCGGCGCATACGCTCGCTCTTTCCGCGTTTTATCGAAAAATACGTCGAAAGGATAAACGGGGTGTAACAAACGACGACGCGGCTTTCGAAGGCGAACTTTTTCCGACCGATTCGAAAACGAACAGCGTTACACTCGAAAACGGAACTCACGATAAGAGCCTACGCTCGTTCGAGCATATTCGACGATTCGTCGCCGTCGTTCCAATCGAGCTTCGGTTCCCAGCGGAAATCTCCGCGTATTTTTTAACCAGAAATGAAATCTGAAGAATTTGGCCTGGAAAATGTCGTAAATCAGGGGAAAAGCGCGCAATCGCGCGGGTAATGGCTCAAGCGTGCCTGCGAAATATCGCGAACGCTAGAAATAACGATTCGGCCACCGGTTCGCACCTGAGTTCTGATCAATTTCTGTCAGAGAAGGTGCTATATTTGGATCGCGTGAAAGAATTTAACGGCGCGCGATTAAAATTATCAAAGGCAGAAAATCCGAATAGAAATTCGGGTGCACGGGAGAAACGAGGAAACTTGGGATTAAAGAGAGCCGAAGGAATGAACGAGAGAAAAAGAGACTTCAATTGAGACAATTAACGATAAAAACACGGAAATTCGGATTATTATAATTCCATTGACGAATCGTGTGTATCCGGGACCAAAATTGTTATTATCCTTTAATAAATCTTATACATTCGAAATGGTTGACCAACGCTGCAACTATCGAGCTGTGAAGCACACTTGAATATAGTATCTCTCTGTCTCCACGATCGAAGAACATATTAACTACCCTTAATTTGAATTGGGTTACTTTTGACCAAGTGATAAATGAATTAACAAACAGTTTGAAGTGGCACTTTTCCATCGAACTCTGCTAACAGAAAAGGATGTCGATCTTGTCAAAATAGTCGAACTTTCGGTTATAAAAGCAGCAAGTCCGAAACTGGTAACTAGTTTACTGGTTGCAGTGTTAATCAAACGATTATCGTAGCCATCGGTCTCCTCCCGAAACGATCTGCGCGAGTCCGATAAACCCCCATATAATGTACGTTGGAGAACTATTCTAAATCTCTCTCGTCGTTATCAGAGCCATTAACTATTCCTAGCCATTGGAGCCTTGAAAACTCCATAACCCAGCGTGGCATGTGCTCGCAGCGTGATCGTGGATCAAAAGAAAAGGCAGTTTCGCTGTGTAACTTTTTAAAAACGGCCAGCCACAGCCAGATAGCTGCCTCGAGCGAACACTCGTGCGAGAGGGGCGGAGGGAGTGCTCGAGTTGCGAAAGAGCACTCCGGATTCATCGGGGGCCTTTTTACACCTCCTAAATTCCCGATTGGATCACGATGGATGAAAGTCGAGCAACGGGACCAGCCAGAGGTATTTCCCGTTCGATGTACGACGCGAACGCGAATTTGGCCGACGCCGGAACGACACCAGTGGCTAACCACCGGGACCACCGGCTGCGTGGCTAAGGCCTAACGCTGATTGTCAGCTGTCCGTGCGAAAATGAAATGAAAATATCATCGACATAGATTTCGTTTCACGGCCAGAAATAGAGGTAGAGAGAGGTAGGACGTGGTCTTCTTCCGGTGGCGGGCAGCCCGAATTTTTCCACTGCTCTTACCACCCCTGCCACCCCGTCGTTATTTCCGATACCGGCAGTCTCCATGAGACCACGCGGTCGCGAAATTCGCTCCGCTCGTATCGAGAATTCGTATCGATTCCGATCCACCGGGAGCATTAATATTTTCCGACTATGCGGATCCGCGCTATCCACGAAGAAAGTTGCCGGAATTTTTTCATCGCCTCTCGGTGAAGGATCGCTCGGCCGACACGGAGGATTAGGGAAGCGAGAAAGTTTCGATTGATAAATTATACAGCCGGAAACCGGTTTGGGTTCTACCTTCATCGAAATTGCAAAAATCCCGCTGCTTTCTTCCCGTTACGGTATTTCGATTAAGGAGAACAAGACGTGGCTCCGGATGATCGATGCGGATTTACAGAATTTAATTCGCGACGGGAAACGAGCTTCCCTCGTGAAGATGCGAGCATTTTCTGGAGATTAAAGACGGACAGGGTTGATTTCGCGGTTGTTAGAGAAAACACGGGGATGGTCGGTCACGAGCGAGTTCGCGAGGATGAGAGAAAAGTGGAAACTGGTTTACGGTGGAAGCGAAACTGAGGAGAGCACGAGAGACGCAGAAGAAATTGTCAGCCGAGCTTTCGGGGTCGGTGCTTCTACTCCGCTGCGGATATTTAGAGAAAGCAGCGAGGCCCTTCGAGGTAAAAAGGTCGACAACGACCTCTGTTTAAAAATATCACTAGAGACTGCTGCTTGTTCCAGCTTCGGGCGGTTTACACGGAGCCAATTACTTTCACAGATGCACCGGTTACTTCTGTTTCATTCGACACATATCTAACTTGGGGCTGCAAGTTGCCTCGACTATCTCTGCACGTAAATTCTCGACAACGTTGGAATTCAATGATCAAGAGAAAATTGTTGCGCCTAACGTTTCGCTATCCGATATGCGAGCGTGCTTCCTCTCGTTTAAAAAAAGAAAAGGAAAAAAAAAATAGCCAGACAGATTCGTTGCGGAGTTTCCATATCGCAATCTGGCAAATCACGGAAGGGCCACGAGAACGAAAAGTCAAGGAAATAAGGAGCAGGATATCTAAACTCGATCTTGATATTATAAAATCGTTAAGCAACCTCGCCGGGAAGAATTTTCGCCAGTCACGTAAGGGTTAAGCCGCGAGGGGTTACGAATGAATGGCAGAGGTGTGTCGAGTTACAAGATCAGTGGGTAGAATTAATAAATGGCAAGGAAACGAATTGCGAATGATTACTCACCCCAAGGTAGTCATCGTGACGATGGTGTACCAGAATGCGGCAGGAATCGAGGTGAAGTTCGTTCCATCGACGTTCTTCTCCGCGTAGAACATGACGGTGGCGAATATGATAATGGCCATCGCCAGGGAGAAGACGAGGAAGCCAAGCTCCGAGGCGCAGGACTTGAGGGTGTAACCGAGAATCCTGAGACCTTGCGAGTGCCTGGAGAACTTGAAGATCCGGAACACACGGAAGACGCGCAACGTAACGAAAGCACCGGATACGTCGTCGTTGTCGGTGATACCGAGACCAATGTAGTACGGGAGGATGGCGACCACGTCGATGATGGACATGACTGATCGAGCGAACTTGCACCGGCTCGGCGCCGCGAACAGCCTCAACAGATACTCCGCGGTGAATATCATGACGCACGCGGTGTCCAGGCAGAAGAAGACGATCTTGTAACGCTCGCCGCATGAAAGCGTACCGGCGCGTCCCGGACGATTACCGCACGGCACGGTCTCGACCACGTTCGCCAGCACGCTCACGGCGATGAAGAAACCGGTTACATAGTAAAATACCAAAGCTGCCGTCGAGATGTGAGGATTCTGGAATGCCCTCCACATCTTTTGCCTGATGTCCGGTAGCTGCTGAAGGTTCTGATCCCCATTTTCGCTCAGCTTGTCATCCATCAAACGCTCCGCGTTCTCTCGTTTCCGGTCACGGTAGTCTTCGTAGCAGCAGTCGCCGATCACGTCCGGCAGGATACCGAAGAACGCCAACTCCTCGTCGTAGCTCGTCAGGCATTCGTGCTTCGGGTAATGAAGCTTACCGGTTCTATAATAGTTCAATATGTGACGAAATATGTCTGGATCACGGTCGAAGAAGTACTCCTTGCTCTCCTCGTCGTAAAAGAACTCGCGCTCGTTCGAACCGAGAAGAGTGTCCGGATACTTCTCGAGGGTGTTCCGCCAGGTCTCGAAGCGACGGCCGCTCACGTTTATCAACAGCTTCTCGTCGTCGGCCTTGCGACGATCCTTGGGGATCGGCGGCGGTGGCAGTGGATGTGTCGCGATCGGCACCCAACCAATCGCCGCCGCACGGGCGAATGGCAGCCATGCTGCCACCGAGGCCATGCTCGAAGGTGGAATATTTTTCTTCTTCCCTTAAATTTTTCCACCTTTCTCCGCCCCTCTCGCCCCTCCTCCGTATTATCCTTATTAATATCTCTATTATCTTTATCTTTATTTTTACTCGTATTTTTACCTTTATCACTATTGTTATTATTGTTATTATTATTATTATTAATCCTCTATCTTAACCTCTTCCCCGTACTTTTGTCAATGTTCTCGTGTCTCGTTCACCACCGATCCGCTCGATCATTCGCCATTAACCGAACGATTATTCCGACTTTGAATGCAGAAGCGAATCCGTTTACGAGCTGCAGTTACGCGCATTCAACCATAGACGAGCTCGTCGAGCAACGAATAAGGGTTTTACTACCAGAACCCCACTTCTGTTTCCGTATTTCGACAACTTACGTTCCTCGTATACACATCCGCGTTGTTGTTTTCTTCGACTGCACTCGTGATGATACCCTCCTTCCGATCGTATACGCGCGTTTCCTTCTCTCGCTCGTTCCTCGCGTCTTCCTCACCGGCTCCACTTTTTTTCCACGAGCCGAAAGAAATACTCCGGCTAAAGCTCGAGTTCCTGGAATCCCCGGGGGATAAACGCCGACTCGTTCTCGGGCAGAGCCAGCGGAACAGGGAATTCCGCCGAGCTTTCGGTTCAGACGGATCGTTCGAGTCAAAAAGTCCTCGACAATCTCCTAGCGCAGCCGGTCGTGCTCGAGGCCTGTCGCCATTCGAACGATCTATCTATCTGTATTAGCTGATCGTGCAACACCGGCGGCCTTCCCACCAGCTACGTGTCGACGACGACGACGACGGCAACGACGACGACGACGACGTCGACAGCGACACCGCGATCCTAAGATCCTGCACGACCACCACCAAGTTCGTCATCATACCTCGGCATTAAACGCGAGCACCACGACAACCAATCGTCTCCTGGCAACTTGCCTTCCACCATCATCGATACCGTTTCCGTTTCGTGCTCGTATCTACCTCTTTCGTTCTTCCTCTCTCTCTCTCTCTCTCTCTCTCCCTCTCTCCTTCTCTCTCGTCGACGACGTCGAGATCGGTATCGAGCACAAGATCTTCCACCTGTTCTTCCTCGTCTATCGTCCCGTCCTGTGCAACGTATCGAATTAAAGACGACGATCCGGCCCTTGCTCCAGAGTATCCTCGAGAATCATCGGGACGATTCCGCTACATTGTCGATGTCGCGAGTGCTGCGGAAAATAGAACAATTCTTTCAGCTTCCATTCACGCGCGAAACCGCCTATCGAGGCTCGGCCACGTTCTCGGGTACATCTTCGTTCGAAAGCACGCGGCGACCGACGAGGCGTGATATTTTAATTAATTCACCGTAGCTCCTTGCAGCCTCTCTGATGCGTACCGAACGCGTTGCTGCGTCAAGTGTGATCGATGCAAGCCTTCCGAGAAGAGGCTCCCCGTGTTGCCCGAACGAGGCTCTCTCTTCGTCAATTAATTCTCGTCGACCGGGTCATCGTTGTTTATCTTTCCCCGGAAGAGATCGAAGCTGCACGACGATGCCAATTCCGTCTTTCTCCCCGTTGCACCGATCTTCGTCGAGGACAGCAACGCGATGACTGCGTTCGATTCTTCGCAACGACGTCGTCGAGACGAACCTCTCGGGGTGAGGTAAAGAATAGCGACACCGAATGGAGCGTGAAAAAAGGAAGGCTTCAACGACGAACGTTCGATCGCGCAATTTCAACGAGGTTCGCCAATGGTCGAATTATTTTCGCGGTTTCCCCGATGTGTCTCGCGAGCGTAACTGGTCTCGAGCGATTCTCGAGCATCGTCCGCGAAACGCTCGGCGAACAGTGCGTGGCCGTGCTGATTCAGCCTGTATCGTTCTCGGCACGCGCAAGCTTTTTTTACTCGCTCGAGGCCCGTTGCGGATCACACAGCACGCAAGGACCACGCTGGTTCCGTTCGTCGACGTAATACGTCAGAGCGGGGAGGCACACGAGTTAAAAGCTTCACCGGTCGCGCAGATGTTTTCCACGACGCACAGCTCTCGCGATAGACGGCACGTCGCATGCGTCACACCGTGGGCTCCTTCCTCGTGACACCACAACTCTGAAGAGAGCACACAGCCTCCTGGTTTAACGTACAACCGTTACTACTCTGACTGTTCGATCAGCCATGATCTTCGTCGCGATTTCGCCGTTTCCACGACCAGTCTGTCCTTTTCACCCGGCTCGTTCATCTCCCGAGTGTTCCACCACGAAAAGAAAGAAAAAGCCGGGAAAGCTTCGAGAACGCCTTGTCCCGTGGAAGAGCCACTCGTACTTCCTTTGAAAAACGCTACCTGCTCCGAATTTTTGATCCGCTTCTTCCTCGCCTCTCCGCGATATCCTCGATCGACACACCGCTGGGAACTGAACAGCACGAAACAGTTTACGTTTGGAGGAAGATCAGGAAGCCGGTGCTCCCGCGACCCTCCTCGTTCGACCGTAACAACCCGGCCGGAGCTCCTCTTCGTTCTGTTTACAAGTGTTCCTCGCGGCGCAACTGCTCCATCTCCCTCGATGTCCTTCGTGTCGTCCGCTCGTGTTGTTTCATCGTCCTCGCGCACAGAACCACGCTCGTTACGGCTTCGCGTAGCGTGCACACGTCCGTACAGGGTAAAGGAACGTTGGAACGGACTACGATCACGCCGGAATGCTTGTCAGCGTGGCGAGACGAGAACCTCCTCCTCGTGGATCATTGTCCGCGTGAACGTAGAAACGGAGGAGATCGTTGAGATACGAGAACAGAGAGAGTGTTGGTCGGTCGGCCGCGTGCGACGAGTGGAAGTGTGCGCGTCAGCGGACACGCTCGCTGGCAGACGCGTTCTCTACCGTCTGGCGTACCCGCTCGGTTGACGACTCGCGACTGAGCTGCTGCTCGCGGTGCGGTATCGGTCAGGCGGTCGGTCGGTCGGTCGGTCGGTCGGTTGGTTGGTCGGTCGGTCGGTCGGTCGGCTAGTCAGTCGGTCGGTCGATTTCTAGATAGCTCGCTCGCTCGCTTGTTCGTTCGTTCGTTCGTTCGTTCGTTCGTTCGTTCGTTCGTTCGTTCGTTCGCTCGTTCGCTCGTTCGCTTGCTCGCTCGCTCACTCGTTGGCGAGGTGGCCGGCAGCTCCGGAAGGGAAGCGTGCTGCTCTCGAGCCTCGAGCCGCCGGAGCAGCCGCGACGCAGCGCCGAGCGAACGGTCACCTAGCCAAGGTCCAAATTGATTTTTACGTCGCGGCGGCGGTGGCGACGCACGACGGTGTCCCGACGCGGCGGCGAACCGCTTCCCCGTTGCCCGGGCAACCCTCAACTATGACGTCATCCCTCCCCCTATCCTTTACACCACCCTCACCTTCAACCCCCCATGTTCCATACTCTGCTCCACCACTCTGCTCCTCCGCTGCGCTCCCCGTTCCCTTCTTCCTCTATATTCCTGAATCCCTAGGCTCTTCCTCTTTCATCCTATCGCTCCATACGCACCCCTCGTCCTCTCTCGGCTTACCTCACCTGCTTTCTCTCTTTCTCTCTTTTCGACCAACTCTTGGTTATCTGTTTATTTGTTTGTTTGATTCCATCGCCGTTTCTCTTCTTTGGCTCGGTCTGCGTGTTCGTTAGCTGCGCGTATGCGCCCGTCAAGGGATGTGCTTCGCGAAGCTTCCGCTTCGACGCTTCTCCGCTGTGATTGAATTTAAATGTAGGTTTATGGGGCTGCGCGCGCTCCAGCCTCGTTCGCGCGCCCGACGTCCAATTATTCCTCGATCTTAATTTGCTTCCCTGCGCGTTTTGCGACTTTACACCAATTCCTCGATCGTGCGGCCTGCTCCGCCCCTCTGGTACCCCTTGCACACGTACAGTTATATTAAAGTCGACGTTCGTCGAAATGGTACTCGTCGCTTTTAAATTTCATCTTCGTGGTAGTCGGTGTATCTGTAAACGTTTGATTGCATTACATATCCACCTGTCTCCTCCGTTAAGTCTTACCTTATTTTCTCTTGTTATCCCGCGCAGATCGTATGAAATTTTTGTGCTTCGAGCAATTACGCGTTGGTCTTCCTTCCTCTCTCCCCTACCTTATTTTCCACAGTCATCATTTCTTATTTCGTCTCTTACGCGCCCATCATATGCCCTTGTTTCTTCCGTTTCTCCTTAAGATCCAGAGTTCCACGTTGCTACCCCTACCTTCTTTTCCTCCCTCTTTCTCTCTCTCTCTCCCTTGTTTTCTCCGTTTTTTTTGTTCATCGCAGCTTTTCCGTTTTCAGCTCAGACGGTCCTTTTTCGTTCGAGCCTTCCCTTCACGCTCTCTGCTGTTTTTACGCGGCCTCTTTTCTTATTTTGTCGCGCCTTGTTATTGCCGCTCTCAGCCCCTAATCTTCTGTCCACCTTTCCTCGCGGCAAAACGCTTCAGACCAAACCTTTTGTCCTCGTTCCCTCTAGTTTCCTTCCAGATTTTTATTATAGGCTGAATTTGAACGTTTCCCCGTTTATCCGAAGAATTTCCACAGTGGTATTCAAGTGTTTCCCTCGGCTCCTCCTTGATCTCGTCCAACTCGATTTGTCAAAAGGAAATTCTTGAACGTCCTGTTAATTGAAACCGAAAGATTTATAAAACGATACAAACATCCCATCTCCATTTCCTTTGTGATGCAGTACGATGTCACGATTGCTCGATGATGCCTGAATATTCGCGTGAAATCACGGGCGGCGTGAATAATCTCACGAGTGCCTAGACACAGCTAGCCGATAACCAGCTTGACCCGAATATGTAAATATTCGCGGCATATTTGCGATGATTAGCCCGGCAATTCTTGTAACACGCTATAAATTTTCATTCATTTCGACAGATCGTATTTAAATTTTCTCTATTTCGACGAGCATCGTACCGTGTGCTATTGCACTATACACGGTGATACGTTATACAAGAACAAAATTATTCAGACAATGCACGTTACCTTCCATCGAAAACGCTGTTCGTTTTCCAGCTCGTGCCTGAAATTTTCTCAACGCATTAAAAATAGATGCCAAACTAACCCAGAAAACCGTAACTAGAAATTACGTCAGAGATCCACCGGTTTCGAGTTCAACGACAGAGCGCA